AAGGGTAATGTCAACATAAAAAGGTTACCATACTCCTTTATTATTAAATTACTGACATAAAAAATTTGTTTAGGCATCGCTACATGAGTCATTATTCAAGTTGTCATGTTTTGATAAACATGCAGTGATGTAAGGAAAGTAAAATAAATTATGATTCACCAGGTTGGCGTCAGATCAATGATGTATGTGGAATGTTTCGGTTTGAGATGTGTGCCAAGCAGATATGCAGCAACAGAGCCAAATTACTGATCGTACAAATTTATGCTAAAATGATTGTTTCTTCAATAATAACAGGATATTTTATTTAGTGTTGAAGTGAAATTAAGAATCAGGGCTCTCCAGATGTTTTATTATGTGCAGAGGGGGAAATTAAATACGCCTACGAGAAAAACATTGGTGGTTTTGAGGTCCGGATTTTAGATCATTCCGGATAATGGGCATCCGGTTGTACTGTATTAATTGCTGTGATTTCAGCCTTTTTTATTGTATTACTTAAACTACAGCTATTTTACTAAAAGATATTTTTATACTTAACGAATAATTAGAAGTACATTCTAAATGAATCATTTTAATAATGATTAATCAAATATTAAACTCTGATTATTCTTTTGTATTAATGCAAACAGTAGTGATACGGTTAGATATGAAAATAGTCTTATTAAAGGTATATTTTTCGTGTGATTGAAAATGTACAGATCGGGAGGTTTCTACTTTTTTGGATCTCTTCAACATTAGCAAAAAACTTTACTTTGAGAGGCAGCTTAAGTTTTGGAAAGAGAAAGTAGTCATGATGGGACGAACTTAGAAAATTGGGGGAAAACTGAGATTGAGTGTATGTACAAATCTTTTCAAGCCAGAAAGTATATCGACTGGTATGAAGTTTTATTCATGTGCAGAATGATCAGGGGTGTAGCTAGAGGGGGCCAAGGGGGGCATCTGTCCCCGGGCGCAGAATCCAAGGGGTGCCAAACTGATGTTACAAATTTTAGAATTAAATGTTTTCCATTCTTGGCAAGCAGTAGGGGGCACGAAATCTTCGGTTGTCCCTGGGCGCTGAAAACCCTAGCTACGACTCTGAGAATGATGCATTTGGAGCAGCATTAAATATTACCTGCTCGGCTAGATGATAAATAATTTTTGAAAGTGTATCTACTCTTTGATTTATCAGCTTTATGGGTATTAAAAAAAGTTAATTGCCCCACAGTGGATTTATACGAAAGTAAACTGTGCATAAGAGTGTTGCAAGATGTCTATTGCTTTATTATAGCACACTGTATTTGTAATATAGAAGTATGATACTTTCTGATTATATGCACCTCCCACAGAGAAATCACGAACTTGCTGTAAACTCATTTTTTGACCAAGCTAATGCATGAAAGACAGCAGCCATTTTCAAAATAGTGGTACACTAAGTAAGAATTCAATATAAGAGCAATCAATAGAATTTAAAAGTAAGAAGCTTCGGTAATAAATCAATTTTTGAGACAGCCTTCTTATTTTGTGCTGTTCTTCTTTCCTTATACAAAGTGATCTATTTTTGCTTTAAGAAATTCAAGAATTGCACAAATTGGGCATGCCTAGAATTGCTGGCTAAAACAGACATGTGCTCGGTACATACCAGAGTTGCTGCATAAGTACTTTTTGGCAACATTGTGAGTTGCCACCTAGCTATTTTGACAATATGCTTACATGCTTCATGAATAACTTTGTAACTTTTTGGCAGGATTGCTGATAATCAGAAAGTAGTAGAAGTATTTTTATTTTTGTACCTTAATCTCTCCACCAGTGGTCATGTGGTTGACTGTTGAATACTGTTAGTTCAACCGTGGTTTGATCCTAGGTAACAGGCAGACTGCATGATTGGTTTTGTGGTTTTCTTGGGGTGTCACATGAATACAAGCCAGATCACATGAGAAAATTCTCCACAAAGGCATCACTCTCCTTAGGCAGATAGCCTTTGAGTGCTGTGTTATATTCCAGTAATCTAACCTAGCTTTCATATCATAATTGGCGATTAGAAAGTTGATTGTACACTACTCAACACTGAAAATGCAACACCAAGAAGGAGTGGCCAAAAATTATGCAAGTTTCAGGGTGGGTGCATGTCACCTAGTTATGTGAATGATGTGAAATATGCAGCTCTCCAGTGCATGTTGAAGAACATATAAGGAAAAGAACCTGCAGAGTATTTAATTTTCGTGCTGTTATTTCTGCTAGGGAAATCATCAGAGAAAATTTCTTCTTGTCTCAGAGGACGCGTGTAATAGCAGAGAATGCCCCGCCATTGTCAACAGAGGCAGTTCCAGCAGACAGATGATTTTATAAGGCACATAGTGATCGGACTAAGAATGGCAGGTTGATCCATATGGGAAATCTCATCTTGACACACACCTGGACACATCCAGAGTGTACGGACTGTGACAGTGATGATTGGAACAAGGAAATGTGGCAAGTTTGAGGGGTGCCAGTGCAGCCAGAGTGACGTCAGCACGCGGGGATCAATGCATTTGCCAACAAGTAGTGGTGCTTCCACAAGCCCCTTCTATCTCCATTCTGAAACATGTTCAAGACACCCTAGATGTTCCCATATTGACCAGAACCATTTACTTTCAATTGCTGGCTAATAGCCTGCACTTGTCACATCCATTAAGAAGACAGCCATTGACTCCACATCATAGACGCCAACGTCTGCAATAGTTCCAGGCTTGAGAGATGTAGATGGCAGAATGGCGTAGAGTCATGTTCTCAGATGAGTCATGCTTCTGTTTCTCCAATGATAGTACAAGAGTGGCGGCGATGTGAAAAAAGATCCAATCTGGCAGCAATTGTGGAATGCCGCACCATGTGACAATACAGCATCATGGATTGGGGTGCAATTGCGTACGATTCCAGATAACCTGTAATTTGTATTCAGGGCACTATGACAGCCCAACGATACATGGATGATGTGCTGAGGGCAGTGACATTCCCCTATATTCAGGGAGTGCCCAATGCCCTTTGACAACAGGATAACACCCGACCACACACTACAGTGATCAGCCAATGTATTGTGCAAGGTGTGCAGATGCTTCCCTGGCCACCATTCTCTCCTGATCTCTCAGCAGTCAAACAAATTTGGGATGTAATTGGATGCCGTTTGCAGACCCTGCCATTGCTGCTTTCAGAAGAACTGTGGCAAATGGTTGACGGAATGGTGAGCCATTCGTCAGGACACCATCCGTAGTCTGATTGGCTCTGTACCTAGACGTATTGGTTCGTGTATCGCAGTCCAAGATGGTCCTTACAGACTACTGACCTGTTCTCGCTCTATATTATGCATATCATTTCAAAATAAAGATCACTTATTGTCCAATGCTGTTTCCCTCTGTTTACAGAGTTTCATCACTTTCTGGCCACTCCTTCTTGGTGGCGCATTTTCATTGTCGGGTAGTTTATATGATAAGTAATGCTAAACAAAATTCTTTGTTAAGCCTTTTTGTAACAAAATTTGATGCAGAATTTATATCTGTCTGTATTCAAGAGTGATTGTAGTATGGATATAGCTGGATTATAGGACTTCTTACTTTCTCATATCTTAAATTTCCAGATTTGTGAAATGTTATCAATAATCAGTAAATCTGCAAATTCTTTGTAATCAGTAAATCTTTAAAATCAAACAAATACTATTCAGCAATTACACAAATTTTAGACTTTTAGATTCAAAAAAGTTCAGTGAGAGGTCAAACTTCATGTTTGAGCAAACTAAGGTTTGTCTTATACAGAAAAATTATTTTTTCTATTTGCTTACCCCCCCCCCCCATTTTTTGAGATGAAGTATTCAGACAGAAAGAAGCTGGAAAACTGATGAAATCTGTTTTACTTCCTTGAAGCCATTGCTAAAATTTCATTTAGTTATATGGGTGATATGTCAGAATGAAGAACATCTTTGAACAGTAAGAGCTTAGATGCTGGACAGACTGAAATATTATTTATTCTTGCTGCAAAAAACAGCAAATGAAGCTTTCAGGTCAGGAAATTTTTCTGATGACTCTGGGAAAGTGTTTATGGATAATCTATTGTGTAACTGGACAGCTTGCCAAAATTTTTTACATTCTGTGAACCATTCTTTTCATTCTAGCAGTTTCTCATCTGGAACATCTGCTAATATACACTTCAAGTTTTATTATAATACTTAAAGTGAACAAGCCATTGTCTTCATCAAAATGTCTTGCTGAACATTTTGAGTTTTCAGTTGTTAGCAAAGAAAAATATAAATGCTTCAGAAAGTAACCTCCTCCGAAAGAAAATCTTATTTTAGTAAATATTTGAAGAAAATGTTGAGAAACCAAATAGATAAGCAATTGTATGACTTGATGTAGTGAGACAAATTATTTTTTAATAATAAGAGAAAATCTATTTTTTTTTTTTTTTTTTTTTTGTTTGCTTTGCCATTGAAAGAGTGTGAAAATAGGTATGTAATGCATACATGTATGTATGTGTTTAATATCAGTATTCTGAATTATTTGAAATATTCTGTTTTTACTCTGCAATATTTTTTAAATGGGATCGTAATCATCCCTTATTTCAGGATTTTTTAGATGGGTTGCAATCATCATATTACTCATTAGAGCATTTGAAAATGCATTTTTCATGTAATTAAATTTTTAAAATAAATAATTTAATGTGTAATAAAGTTTGAATAAGATGGCTGTTACTATACTCTTTCTTTCATTACTTGTTTGAGTTAATGATTTTTTGCTTATGTGATGATCACAAAATGAGCTTACTCATTTTTCGTTGCTTCTTTTGCTAGCCCTTTGCTGTATTTTGATAATTTTCTTTAATATCTGTCTTTAATATCTGTAATTCTGTATATATCTGGAGCAGCTCATATTTACTAATTAAAAATATTCTTTCAATGTTATTCAGTTTTTATGGCTTGTGTTTTAAAAATGCAGTATTAAAAGGAAAAATTAAGATTGAGATAATGAAATATATTTACAAATTAATTTCTGTTTCAGATATTTATTATATAATAACATTATGACTGAAAAGATCAATTCTTCGTATGCAGAGCCACCTCCTCCATATACCACTGCACCTCAGCCTGCAGCATATCCTGGAGCAATGCAGTATGGAGCCAATGTTGGTAAGGGTGTAATATAATCACAATGAAAATTTATTCATTTATCTCTGAAAAATATGTAGTCAGCTGGTATAATTCCAGGTCCATGTGTTTCTATTGTAATTCTAGTCATATTTTTTCCTTAATTAATGCTTTATTAAAATTGGGGAAAATTTTGAAGGCATTTTTAGCCATGTAATTTGCAATAGCTAAATCAATTTATTAAACTGAAATTTGTTTTGATACTGCTTTTGGGGGACTTTGTTCACAAAATTTTAACTATGAAATTTCTTTTTTTATAGTTAAAATTTTACGAAAAAATTTTGTGAACACTAATTTTAACTTTAAAATTTCTTTTTCAATTAGTCTACAAGTGACTGAGTGGATAAGACTGTTGAACATTGATTTGAATTTTGGTGAATGGAATGGCTACATGCATTTTCCCCTTAAATAACATAAATTTAAACTGATTTTCTCTAGGTTAGATTATATCAAAGCATTTGAAGGCTATCTGCCTGTGAGACAATCTTTGTTTGGCACTGTTTTCTTTGAAAAGTCTCCCATGAATGCATCCCTTTCCTTACACTGGTGGTCCTTCATTTGCTTTGCTGTATCTAATTAAGCTGTATTCTGTTTTAATGTCTACTAAGTATAAAATGTTTTGTCTGCTACGTTTGAAAAATTTACAACAACATAGCAAAGCACATCTCAGATTTATCTCACATACAGTGTTGTTTCAAAATACGTATGCTTGATAATTTTACTTCCTTGTATGAAGCAAAGGAAGTATTACAATTGCAAAAAATTTTGGTTATCTTATTTCAAAGGGAATATCCATTTTGACTGTTCCCAAATTCATTTAGATGATTTTCTTGCATGACGTGTGTACTTATGCACAGAATAAAGGACTCTTATCATCAAAATGGATTCAAAAAGGATTTTTTCATAGGGGACAAAAGGCATTACATGCGTATGTATTTGTCTCGCATAACTTAAAACAATTAGCCATAGAATGTGGTACTGCACCAACATCCAATTGTGCACCTCCCTTTTTTATTGCAATTGGCAAGACCAAATTTATATATATGTATGTATATAGAGCATTTGAAAATTAAAGTTCTTAAAATTTGAATCAAAACAAGGCAACTCCCTAACAATATTAATAATTGCAATCTTTTAAAAGTCTAACATTGCTAAACATAATCAAATTAATAAAGGAATTAATCATTAGAATAACAACAATATATATATATATATATATATCTATATATAAATAAATAAATAAAAAAATGCAAATGGAAAAGTAATAAAATTAAAAATTAGAAATTAAGCTCCTTTGTATGAAACCCCAATTCAGAAATCGTCAGGGGAAAAGGAATTGAAGTTTTAGAAAAGTCAATTAATGTGCTCAAATATATGTTTCGTTCTTCTGAATCATTTAAGATCAAAAACTGATAACGTATTCAATTAAATTTTCACTAAAAACTTTAAAACTGAAAGAATGAATCTCAAATCGGACTTTCCAAAGCAATAACAAATTAATGAATAAAAGAATTGACTTTTAAATCAAATTGTCATTTAAACAAAACTTAAAAATATGGGTGGTCCCCAATTATGCAAACCTTAAACTTTTAATACTAAGAAAATGAAACACTTTCCAAAAAAAGATTTCTTTAAATCCGAGCCTTAATCGGCTAAAAATCTGTAAACCTATTAGAAAACAATTATTGAGCAAATGTAAATTTACTGAATTTCTTAAAAAGGCCATTGTTTTTCAAACTGTGGACTCATGCAAAAGATAGTTGAATTCAGATCTACTTTGGAGACTTAGAAAAGTTAAAACTTCTTGTAAATAGTATGAGATAAAGGACCAAGTGTCCAATGGCAGAAAACTGTACTTTTGTGTGTATTCAAAATGTCCTATCCTGTTAAACTTTGTGTGTGGGGGGGATGGGGAATTGTGGGTGTGGTTAATATAAATGATCAGGAAGGAGAGAGTGTTGATGTCAGTATGGTGGCAGATAAAACTTTTTAAAAGATAATGTCCATTGTAAAATCTTAAAACATGGGAACTACATTGGCTTTAAGTTGAGGAAAAAGTCATGTTATAAATGATAAAAGTCTTCACATAATCAGGGTACGGTATGTCTACTAGGAGCCCTATTTTTTAGTAAAAGTAAAGTTTGCCAGTTTATTTAAATTGACAAAGAAGTAAAAAAATTAGGAAGTATGAATTTACAAAGGAAAATTACAAGATCTTTTTACATATTTAGATTAAATGTCTTATCTTAGTCATCCAACTATTATCTTCAATTAAGTTTAAGTAGTAATTATCATTTCACTTTAGATGAGAAATTAAAAAAAAATGTAGTTAATACCAGCTTTCTTTAATGATAGAGAAATTTTATTCTGTAAGAGAATTTTGACTATGTTATTGATCTCTTCTTGATAGTATTCGACATTGTTTGAGATTTTTTTTATTCTGTTGAGCATGTATTGTTTTTAGTTAGAATAACTCTTTTGCAGATGTTTGAGTGCGAGTGAATGAGTTTTATAGTAGGGAAATCAAAATGTCTTCTTTTGTGGTAAATTTCAATATTTTTTAAATTGATAATTTGCAAATCTAAGTAATTAATGTCCCATTGTTGATAGTTAGTTTTATTTTGTATTAGACATGAGGGATAAAAGTGATCATATTCAGTTTTAGTGGAGTTGTTGATTGCAATACTATCATCCATATATCTGTACTTAAAGGAAGGTTGTATTGAAGATAATTGTTGTTGGGAATGAAATTCCTTTGTGAAAAGGTACACATTACAGGTAGCAGAACTCGTGCTGGTTCCTATCGGGATGCGGTTAATTTGTTTAAAAAAGGAATTATTAAACTCGGCATAGTTATTAAAAAGAATACTTTTAAAATATAGTTGCCATTCTTCTTTGGTAATAACAGTAGTACATTGTTGAAATAAATCTGGTCAAGTCGTCTGGTCAATCAATCTGGTCAATAAATCTGGTCAAAACTGTCGAAGACTTCTTGTAAAGGTAAGAGCCATACATAAATTCTCAACAGTAAGAGTAACAGAAAATATCTTTAATGTTTAAAGTGCAAAGTGCTTCTAGTATCGGTTAGTTGTTACTTATGATCCAGTTGAAATTGTGGTCTTGCATCTGTGCATCTGTAATAAAATAGAGAACTTCAAGTATTTGAGAAAAATGGTAGTCTATTTCTTTCATGTAATTTCTGGTTTCATTGACTATGAATCGAAATTTGACCGCCGTTTTGTGAAATTTAGGTAATACATAAAGGTTGGAAAATCTGATGTAAAATTATTTTGTAGTAATTTTAAGCAGGTAAATGAAACGTTTTTTGGTTGATCTTTACAATATGGTAAATGGTAGTTTGGCGACATTTTGGAGGCGATAAAGGTTACTACCTGGGACTTTGGTAATAATGTGAGCAGTACTCAGTTCCGATTATGCATTATTTTGCATGAGGGAAATGAGGGATCATGGGATATGTCATGTGATATTAATGGATGAATTACGGTTCTTTAATCGGAAAAGAGGGGAAATCGGGAAAAAATCTGGAAATTTTGTATTTAGCTTTATTCTGTGTTGTGTGAAACAGTGTTGGTTAATTTTTGGATCGCATGGCCCTAACTAAAGTGAATTCGAAATGGGTATTTAGGCATTGTGATAAAGAGAAGTTTGCTTTTTATTTAGGGGAGGAAGTATGGAGGAAAAATTCGCAGAAAAAATCTTTCAATAATTTTATTGAATGAATTAGAAAAGTGTATCCACCACGTAATCAAGATTCTGAAGAAGATTAGGTAAGTTAGTATTTTTTAATTATTTGAGGATATTATTTTTATGCATTGTTCTAAATGTAAGGTGGAAAGGAATTTGGTATTATTGGGAAAATTGTTATTAGCAATGATTTAGTTTAAAGTAATTAGGATTGTAAGGTAATTTTTATTAATTAATGTATGTGCTCCATTTATATTTTAAGTAGTGTTTTTTGAATTTAATTATATTTTAATGAAATGATAGTTATTTTTGTGAATTTATTTTTGTAGGAATTTGGTATACGTTTTAGTTGAAGTAAACGTGCATGGAAATAATTTAAATATCTGACACTAAGTATTTGTAATGGTTGCGGTATGAATTCATTGGTGACGTTTATAATATAATAGATGATTTAGAGGTAAAAGTTTTTGGATATTTTATTTATTTTATATGTGGAAATGTTCATATTTGGAAAGGGGTAAATACTTTTTCGTGATCAGTAATTTTCATATATGTTCTTTTTACCGGGTTTAAAGATTGAGAAAATTGTCATGTATTTTCGTGAAATTTTTCTAATTTTATGAGAAAAAAGCAGTGTACATGGATATAGTGAAGAGTGTGCGTAATGCCATTTTTGTGCAATTCTGGGATTTTTTTTAAGTAAAAATAAGTCGACGTGTACATGGTTTAGTGATATTTTAATTAAATGATAGTTATTTTGTGAATTTTATGTTTGTAGGAATTTGGTATACGTTTAAGTTGAAGTAAACGTGCATGGAAATAATTTAAATATCTGACACTAAGTATTTGTAATGCTTGCAGTATGAATTCGTTGGTGACGTGTATAATGTAATAGATGATTTAGAGGTAAAAGTTTTTGGATGTTTTATTTATTTTATATGTGGAAATGTTCATATTTGTAAGGGGTAAATACTTTTTCGCGATCAGGTAATTTCATATATGTTGTTTTTACCTGGTTTAAAGATTGAGAATATTGTCATGTATTTTCGTGAAATTTTTCTAATTTATGAGAAAAAAGCAGTGTACATGGATATAGTGAAGAGTGTGCGCAATGCCATTTATGTGCAATTCTGGGATGTTTTTTTAAGTAAAATAAAGTCGGCGTGTACATGGTTTATGTGTATGTGTTATTTTGAAAAACGCGTAAGGAGTATGGTATTGTGCACTTTTTCCCAATTTTGCAGTAAATATTTGTCATGATTAAGCAGTTTTGTTTG